TTGTTCCCAGAGGAAAACTGCATCTTTCTTTCACCTTTTTGTTTTGAAATAATTTGAGACTTGTATAAAGTTGTGAGATAGCACCGTGAGTCCTGTATACTTCACCCAGCTCACATGATAATCATGGTGCAGCGACCAAACAAGGGGCATCAGTGGGCCAGGGGCTGCCACCTGAGCCACGCACTTCACCTGGCTTTCCCCACTTTCCTACGGATGTCCTGTTATTGGAGGATGGTGTAGAGGTGAAGAGTGGCCGCTGGCTGTGCCCACCAGGCCCGGGCGGCAGTCCCCAGGCCTCGCAGACAGGAGAGCTCGCTGCGCCCTGCGCCCTGCTTGCGCACATGCACATGTCTCCACACCCCTCTCTCTTCTCTCCTCAAAAACATGTTTGGGAATTTTTCTTAGCGTATCACCTCCTACATTTTGACTGAACAGTTCAGGTCCAGACAAAAATGTCTGGGGAGATGTGACGAACTCAACAAGCTCCTTGATCCTGACCCTTCGGAAGTCTGATACCAAAAGCATCGTTTCAGCAGAGTGGCGTCATTACAGTGTACCCCTTCGGGACTGATGAGTTACAGAAAAGCTGGATATTAACACACGGGTAGCCTGTTCTCAGAGCCACTGGGCCAGGTCACCTTGCTGGGTTGCCCTGCACCCTTGACACATTCGTCACTTTGCCCCTTGAAATGCTCATCTCCCTGGACACCTCTAAAGAGGCGACACCCTCTCTTCTTACTACTTAGCTACTAACACAAGAGTGACAGACAGACTAGGTAACAGCTTCCAGCTGTCGCCCAGGGCTGCTTAGTCCTCGGCCAGTCCCCGCTGCGTCCCTCCCTAGTGTTCTGGCGGGTTCCAGACGTCTCTTCTTTTTATTGGTAGATGTTTCTTATGTGTCGGATAGGATTGGATTCCTTTTAAAGATAACCACAATACTCCTTTATCCTCCTTTAAAAATAACAGCATTCCTTAGTATCACCAGATAGCCAGCTGTCCCACGCTCCTTCTCCTGGGTTTTCGTCCGTGTGTGTGTGTGTGTGTGTGTGTGTGTGTTTGTGTGGAACTTGCTGGGATCCTCCTGCCCTTGACCTTTCGCTGCCCTTTGGAGTTTGCGAGCTGGTGCTCAGTGCCGAGACCAGTGATTCTCCAACGCTCTTCTTTCAGTACCTGGCTGCATCTGCAGTGAGGAAGCCCCCTTCCTCTGCTGTGAATGTGGTTTACATAAGAAAGGAGGGCAGTGAGCGCTTCTCCCTGTTTTTCAAAGTTTTCACATAAGGCGCTGGGCTCACTAGGGTCACCCAGCAAGACCAGCACCAGCTAGTTTGTCTGTTTTACTTTTGAAGTCAGGGCTGTGGCTGGGGATGGCCTCTCCAGTGACCCGCAGGCCTTTACAAAAGACGCTCCGGCTTATCCTGTACCTTTATTGTCCGGCACCTGCAGTCAGCCACCTGTCCCGGGAGACAGGACTCAGGAACACAGCTGGCCCCAGGCAGCTGCGGACGGGTCTTGTTTCTGGGTCTTTCTAGGGGAGAACCGTGTTTTGATTTGTTTCAGTGATGCTTCAGATCTGGGGCAACAGGATTTATGTAACTGCTGTCATGTGTGTATGTGTGTATGTGTGTGTATAAGTGGGTGTGTGAGTGTGTGTGTGTGTGGGGGGTGTGTGTGAATGTGCGTGTGAGTGTGCGTGCGAGTGTGTGCGCGTATGTGAGTGTGTGCGTGTGAGTATGTGTGTGAGTATGTGTGTGAGTGAGGGTGTGAGGGTGTGCGAGTGTGTGTGTGCGTGTGAGTGTGAGAGAGTGTGTGTGTGCGTGTGAGTGTGAGAGAGTGTGTGTGTGTGGGTGAGAGTGTGTGTGTGTGAGTGTATCTTCTCCCACACCGACAATGCTGGAGGTGATCGATTTATACTGGTGCAGAATTAGGGGCTCACTCGCTTTATCCCCCCCACGCCATCCTGGGGAGGACCAGCTCCGCTGCCAGAAGTGTGTTTACCGAAACAGTAGTCTGTTGGCTTCCATGGCTCTTTTGTCTCTGGGTGCATCTCAAGCCACTGTGCTCTGAGGGCGTCTACACTGGCTCTCTCACTGGGGGGCTGTGCCCGTGGGATTTCATGGGCTCATTTGTTTCATTTTATGCTTGATGCATGGAGGTTGCTTTTCTAAACTTAGTTTTGTTTTAAAACTGTAAGTCCAAAGTCAAATATCCTAAACAAGGTATATTCCTAGATCGATCTGTCTGTCTATCCATCCATCCATCCATCCAGCTTCCTGTCCCTGTCCTCTCCCTGCACTGTCCCTTCCCTTAGAGGCAACCATTACAAAATCGATGATCTGTCTTCCCACGCCTCCTGAAGCTGACCATGCATACCTCCTCCCCGTGTCTTCGGGTGCACGCTAGGCTCCCCTCCCCTCCCTCCACCCACGGCACGACGTGGCTGCTTCTCATCCCTTGGGTCCCTGCACTGTGCCGCCTCCTGGGGCCGCCCATATCGACTGACCTGGCCCTGTTGTTAGGCGTTCGGGTCATTCCTGCCCTTTGCCATGTGTTTGCCAGAGGATCTGTGTGACAGTCTGGCCCCTGGGCCCCAGGATAAGTGTGTGTGCAGTTCTGATGCGGCGAATTCCCTGGGGGGCGGGGAGGGGCAGGGCTGTCACACTTGTAGTGCCACCAGCAGGCGCGGGCGGGCGAGCAGCTGAGCAGGGGAAGGTCACATTGCTTGATCTCCTTCCTCCCGATGTGACAAGGCCAGCGTGGCTCCTGCGCCCAGGGCTGCCTGTGTCTCCTTCCCTCTCCTCCTGTCCCCTCTCCCCCTCTGGTCCTTCCTGACATCCTGCCCTGCTCAGCAGGCTTCTTCCTGGGCGGGCCTCTGCCTCTCCTCTGTCCACACCAGCTCACAGCGCCCTGTGGCACTGTCTCTTAGTGTCCCCCTGACCCCTTCACATCTTCCTGGCTCCTCCCCTGCACTGCTCGCTTTGGCCACCTGTACCTGAGAGCAGGTCCAAGAGCGAAACACCTTGGCTGACTTTGAAAGGCCTTTGGGCACAGCACACGGGGCCATGTTATAGGACATCTCACCTGCTTGGCTAAAGGAGTCAAGTCACCCCAGAGGTGCTGGGAAGCTAATGACTCTTTGGAATGATGCTCTGGGACCACCGATCTGGAGGTGGCCTGAAGGACATTCTGGAGTGGGGGACAGGCCCCTGGAGGTGGCCAGTGGGGCCACTCCTGCAATCTCGGTGATCTGGAAGGGGGTGGTGAGCGTAGACAGAGGAGTGGAGGGACCGGGAGCCAGCGCGTGGGCAGTGGGAGGACGGCGGCTTTACCTTGCGGGCGTTCTCACCCACCCGTGGGGGGTGCAGATCTCCCCAGGAAGGGGCCCTCCGGGCAGGGTGGGAGTGGGCTGTGGTTTCTGGGGAAGCAGCCGCTGACGCTCCTCGCTGGCCGTGCAGGAGCTGTCCAAGATCACCATGCCCATCGCGTTCAACGAGCCCCTCAGCTTCCTGCAGCGGATCACGGAGTACATGGAGCACGTGCACCTCCTCCACAGGGCCTCGCACCAGCCCCAGCCCCTGGACAGGATGCAGGTGGGCGCCAGAGTGTGGCTGTGAGTGGACATGACACCACGTCACTGGCCACGTAATGGAAGGGACCCAGCCCCTGCCCAGTGGGTGTCTGGGAGGAGGGCCAGCAGAGCTGACCCTGAGTGTGGGTGCTGTCTGTCCTTCCCGGTGGTCATGGCATCTGTGCTGGGCTGTGGTCTCACAGATGTGCACAGGCCTGCGCCTTGGCCCCTCCTGGATTCTATCAGCATCACCATTCGTGTGTGTGTGTATGTATGTATGTGTGTACCCTATGTATGTGTGTGCCCTTTGTGTGCATGTGTGCGTGCATGTCGTGTGTGTCTGTGTGCATGCACATGTCGGCGCCCACATGTATATATACATGCATATACACAGCCCTGTGTGTGCTGTGTGCCTGTGTACACATGTGTGTGCATGCATGTGTGTACCCATGTGCACCTATGTTGTATGTACCTGAGTGCACACACACGTGTGTGCATGCGTGCGTGCCCATGTGAGTGCACATGTGGGACAGACAGGCCGCCCTGCGCAGGGCCTGCAGGAAGGCCGGGCTGGGGCCGTGTCAGCCGCAGGGAGTTCCTGTTCCCCTGGCTTTGAGGGATTGGTAGGTGACAAAGGTGTCTCCCAGAAGCTCTGTAATCTCAGACACTTACAACTGGGAGACTGAACAGTCACCCGAGAGTAAATAATGTCGAAGCTCGGTGCCTGAGCCGCCCTGCAGCCCTTGGCACCCACCTGCTGCTGGAGACCCGCTCACGCCCGTGTGTTGTTTGCAGTGTGTCGCCGCCTTCGCCGTGTCAGCGGTGGCTTCCCAGTGGGAGAGGACCGGCAAGCCGTTCAACCCGCTGCTGGGAGAGACGTATGAGCTCATCAGGTAAGGCCACCCCGCCAGCCTGTGCGTAGGGCGCTCTGGGTGACGATGGGCCTGTTCTCCCAGCAGCGTGACTCTCTCCACTCTGAGGAGTTTACTGAAGGGTCTGGACACTGTGGGCCAGAAGACGCTTCACGTACGAGGAATGTCATGTCAGTAACCTAGCAAAACCCTAGTGAGGAAAAACGGTTGAAAATAGGGTGATGTTTTCAGTCCAGGAATGGAGAGAGAACATATATGAACGTGCCAGACAGACGCGTAGGGCACTCAGCTTGGAGCTAATGTGGAAATCGGCCCCAGTGCGCACACTCGCCCGTTTCCCAGAGTGTGTCAGCCGGTGTAGTGCAGGGAGCAGGCGGCCTACACAGAGCTGCCGGGAGGGCTCTGCTCCCAGCCTCCCGATCACGCGCAGCCTCGTGTGGGCAGTGACCTTATCTCAGGCACCACTGAAGTCACTTCCGATGGTGTTTCTCACGGGCAGCTTCAGCAGCCCCTCCTGCCCCCCGACCCCAGCGTGCCCGCTGGTCCTGGAGCCCAGCACACACACCTGGTCCTGGACCAGGGCAGACTGGCCGTGTGTGGTGCTCGCCACTGACCGCACTGCCCCCAAATTATCCATGGGCCGGCTGTCTCGGTAAGAGTGCCACCCAGAGCACAAGTATAACGTTCACCCACAGCAGTGCTGTGGTCTCGCGCTCGTCGGGTCCACCGGGTCACTGAGTGAACACAGCCTGGGCCCGGGCTCTGGGAGCATTTGGTGACATCTGCAGTGACTTTTATTCCATCTACTCTTGGGTCCTGGTGGGAGCCTGTTGGAATAGTTTATTAAATAAAAGTTTGTTTTTAATTACAAGAGCATGCTCTCTTCTGAGAATGTGTAAAATTGAGAAAAGTGAAAAGGTGAGTCAGACATAATCCCGTGAAAGACACTCGGTGTTAACATGTTACTAGATTCCTGGGGGGGTGTGTTTACATAATGTGACATGGTTAACTTGTATCCTTTTTTATTTAACATTATGTCACATTCATTTCCCCACAATATTAAAACCTTTTCCTAAGGTACAGTATTTTACTGATGCCAAGACACATTTTTCACGTTTTAGCATTTCTGCCTGTCATAATTTAATTTGCAGCATTTTTCTTTCTTTGATAAAATAAAACAAGGGTGTATTATGTGATCAGTGGCCTCTTGGGTTCAAAGAAGTGTAGCTTTTTCGAAATTTCTGACTGTTGTCGCCAGGTCCCTTGTTGCCATGTGTTAGGATGACCTAGGTGAGGAAATGGTTGTGGGACCTGGGATGTCAGTCTGCTTACAACAGGCAATCTTCAGGTGTGTAAAGAGGCTGAAGGTGTGTGCCAGCTCTGGTTTCAGACCATGTGGAGCAGAACGGTCATCTTTAGGGACGGAGGCCGGCCTGCACGTGTGCAGTAAATCACTCCTGGTGGGACAGCAACATTAGGGCGGAGCTGCGAATGCTAATCAGCCTCTGGCATGGCTTGGACGCTGCTGCTGCTGTCTCATTTCCAGCACTGCTGGCCTGGGAGTGTGACTTCACTGTTGGCTGGCCCTGAGCGGTGGAGCAGCTGGCCTTGAAATCCTGTTACCTTGGAGAAAGCTGGACACGTTAGGTGTGCTGCCACGGGACTTCTCCATAAGTGACATGGGTTCAGCAGGTGACGTCACAGCAAGAGGCATTGTAGGGACAGCCCTACATCTTCAGTTTAGAAATGGGAGAAGTGAGGCCCAGATGAGGGAAAGACGCCCCGAGAGTTAGTCCTAGGGGATCTCTGTTGGGAATCACGTGGAGGGTTCTTTCTAGGTGTTTCTCCTGAGTAGGTTTCCTCCTCTGGCCGACATGTCATTTTCAAGGTTCTGACCTCATCTAGCTTTTAGCAAGTTATTACAATTTTAGTTTATGAAAAAGCATCATTAAGATATCTTAAAAAGAGAAATCAAAGCATAATATGAAAAAAGTTCTAGACAACAGGAAATAAGCAATATGGCTTAAAAGAACATGAAAAGCCCAAATGCTGACGGCATGTGACCGTCCGGGTTGCTCACCTCGTCTAGGAGTGTCATTCCAGGCTTGGACTGAAGTGTCACCGACTGATAGAGAAAACGAATGTCCTCTCTGAACTCCGGTATACTTGGTCTGTCATGTCTCAGTCTCCAGGTCACAAGTGTGCCCGGTGTCCCTGCATGTTAGGCACACAGGACATGTACAGTCTTCCTGTTTGGGACCAACCAAACCAAGTCACTCACCGATGTCTCTGTCCTCCCAGATGCGCCTGTAGGCTAAAAATAGCTCTTTCTTTTCTTAGACAAGTATTCATTTTGTAAATTACATACCTTGGTAGGCAACCTTTTAAAAATCTAATTTTCAACTTTCCTTCCTCTGTAATGATTGGAAATTCAGATTTCAGTTAAGTTAGTAATTATGTGGTTTAGCTTTTATAATCGTTAATGACTACAACTGTAGGTGTATTCACAGTTCCGGAATAATTAAAAAAATGACATTTTTATTGAAAAAGAGAGTGCACTAAAATTCTATTTCCTGGCCAGAAATATCTCAGGGCACAAGACACATTATCACAAAACTTCCAGGAGCCTCAGAAGAAGGCTAGAAAGGAGCCCCCTTTCGGAAAGGCTGGGAAGTCATCACTCTTGGCTTTGGGGCAGTGGGCGTCCCCCGAGACTCAGGTGACAGTCAGGTGTCAGGCCTCTCAGTTACTGGTTCTGAGAGGTGCTTGTTGACCTGCATGTGCTCAGGTGGTCCTGTGGAGGCAGTTTATGCGTGTGCGTGTGCGCACATGTGTTGTCGGCATTAGGCCAAGTGTGACATCAGAGCAGGTGTTGTGGCAGCATGGCGTGGTTCCCAGTTCCCAGCGGCTCTCGCCGACACGAGGGCCCTCCACTCGCACGTGCGTGTGTTACTGCAGCTGCACCGACAGGGCCACTGGGCCCACCTTTATGGGGTTTGCTGTCACTAACGTGGATCCTGCTTTATCTCTCCTGCCGCCCTCATTTCTCTCTCGTTTTTGTACCTAGGGAAGACTTGGGGTTCCGATTCATATCCGAGCAGGTCAGCCACCACCCCCCCGTCAGTGCATTCTATTCCGAAGGCCTCCACCGTGACTTCCTGTTCCATGGCTCCATCTACCCGAAGCTCAAGTTCTGGGGGAAGAGTGTGGAGGCGGAGCCCCGAGGCACCATCACACTGGAGCTCCTCCGGTGAGTGGGGCCGCCTCCCGCAGACCCAAGGGGCAGGAGCCCGTCCTTAGTGGGAGGGAGGCTTCCTGAGCTGGCAGTGCCAGGTCCTTCTGAGGTGGCAGAAACCCTGCAGCTGGACTGCTCACCCAGGTGCCCAGCAGGGCTGGTGCTCCTTGGAGGAAGTCCTCCGTCTTCTTTCCCACGTGGTCTGGACATGCTCTTGTCACCAGTCAGAGCTGTGTAATGACCCCACACTTGCAGCTCCAAACAAGCAGTGTTTGTTTTTCATGTAGTGACTGGGCAGCTGGGAGCAGCACGGGGTGACCTGCTCGGGGTCCCATGAGGTGGGCCAGGCTGTGTCCTGGGTACAGCGTCTGTTTCCATAGCAGTTGACGCTGGTGTCCCTCAGAGCCAGGACCCAAGGGCAGAAGTCTCTAAGAGAAGCCACAGTGTGACCCAGCTGCCACCCCTCCACTCATGTGTGTGCTGTTGGTCACACAGACCAACCCTGGCCTGTACAGGAGGGTTTGAATTCCAGGAGGTGGGGAATATGGAGTGACCGCCCTCCAGGCTGCCCCACACCCATGTGGCCTGAATCTAAATACTGATCCGATGTTGATCGGACACTACAAAACAAAAGCAGAGTCTCTAGCAATTGCCTGGACACTGCAGAGCCACAGCAGATGCAGCCTAGGCCGCGGCCAGCAGAGGTTTCCCAGGTGCTAGGCTGCCTGGGGGCAGCACCCTGGCAGCACGGACGGAGTCGTTGTTTCCCGTTGGCCCAGCCTGGCTGGTTGTCAGAAGTCCAGGAGGACCTGGGGGAGCAGGGTCTCCCCAGTCCCGCCCCTGCGTCCCGGGGCTGGTGAGGTCCCCAGGCCCTGGGAGGGCAGCTCTTCTGGGAAACGGGCCTTTCCCGGTGGCCTTTGCTTTCCTGGGGAGAGGCGGGTAGAGCTGCAAAGGCACACGCCTCCCTGAGTGTTTCCGTCACACCTGGGAAATTCACGGAGTTGCAACTCTTGGTCATGAAATACTTCTGTGCCGAGCTGCTGTCTGCCCTTAAATGTGACTGCTTCACGCAGCCTCCCTTGGGACACAGGTCCTGCGATCTCACTTCCCATCTGTGGGGGCCTCTCTTCTCCTTGGGTCAGGCCACTGGGGAGCATGAGGAACAAAAGGAAAGGTGTTCGCAGTGTGTTCTGAGCCACAGGCACCCCCGGGTCCTGCCATGCCCCGGCCCCCAGCTGGCCAGTCCATGCCCGGACCCCGCCCCGTGGGTGCGTCTGCCGAGGCGGTTCTGCGGGCAGCTTGGCAGGAGAGACACTCTCTTCGTCTCTGTCTTCTTTATTGCTTATGAACTCGTCTTGACATTCAAGTAGAAAGCTTTGTTGAGGCTACAAAGGAAAGAAGAAATAAATTTCAAACGAATGCTAAATAAATAGCCACTGTCCTGGGGAGTTCAAAGCAGTGTTCTCTCGAACAGGTTTTAAGGCAATTATGGTTCAAGTCCGTCTGCGCCCTCGCTTCTGAGCCGTGGCGTCTGCTTTGCGGCTCTGACTCACTTGTTTTCTGGCCTCTGACAGACACAACGAGGCCTACACCTGGACCAACCCCACCTGCTGCGTGCACAACGTGATTATCGGGAAGCTGTGGATAGAGCAGTACGGGACCGTGGAGATCCTGAACCACAGGTACTGGCCCCTGCCTGCCGTGTGCGGGCGGCAGGGGCCAGACAGACTGCGCCGGATGCCTGGAGTGCTGGCTGTGAACTTGGGGACGTGCCTGCCCTTCCCCACGGCTCCCAGACAGGGAGCCCCCAGCCCGGCCGTGGTGGTGGGACCTGACTCTGGTGGCCTGTGTCCGGCATGCTGTGGTGGCACTTGTTTTGTTTTTCGTCACAAGAGTTAACTTATTTTGAAATTTTAAACAACAGTAAATAATGGAGTTTAATGGCGGAAATATAGTGACCATCCTCAGTTATCGTCTGCTGCCCAGTCTGTCATTCCTTATCCTGGACGGTCACAACTGATTGGCTCTGTTTTTTTCACAGCTTTACTGAGACATAATTTACATGTTATAAAATCCCTCCATTTAAAGTGGACACTTAAGTGATTTGTAATAAATTTACTGAATTGTGCAGCCATCACCACAAGGCAGAGAAGGTCACCCAAAAGGTCCCCGTGCCTGCTGGCAGTCACTCCCCAGTGCTGCCCGCAGCCCCTGGCAGCCTCTGGTCTGTGTGGCTCCCTCCCTTTCCCTCTCCCACCCTCTCCCCCCCCCCCTCCTTTTCCTGGATGTTCCTATCCCACAACAGAAGCCTGTGTTTGTTTTTCCCATAGAACTGGAGACAAGTGTGTGCTTCACTTTAAACCATGTGGGTTGTTTGGAAAAGAGCTTCACAAAGTGGAAGGACACATTCAAGACAAAAAGTAGGTCCGCGTCCGGGTTGGTTCACAGGGTGCTCCTGTGGCACGTGTGCGCCCTACAAAAGGCGTCGTTCCGTCGGTGACAGCTGCTCCCGGTGCACAGAATTATGACTCTTTCGTTTCAGAGAACACAGCTCATTATTGAGCATAAGAGATGGGATCAGTTTTCGTGACATTTCTAGGGTAGTGAGTGGAGCCCGTCCCACCCTCTTGAAGGTGAACAATCTGTGTCTGTTTTCCTTTGGTAAAATGGACGCGAGGAAATTAGACACTTTCACAAAAGATCACGCTCCCTTTTCACAGACAGAACTGAGATTTAAAATTTGACCCTGTGTTCCCTTCTCTCCACCAGCAAAACCCAAACGTTAGCTTGTGTAAGCATCATGTTCACGTGACTGGTTCATTCCAATCCATCATTTAGGGATGTTTAAAGTTTTTGTGAGCAAAGAAATTGTCAGTAACATTTAAACAAATTTTCTGGGGTTTTTCCTCCTCTTTGGGTTAGTTATCTTATGTTTTGGGTCTCAAGTTTCTAGGTTTTTTTTTCTCCCTATAAGTAATTTGGGCCATATAATGTCACGAGATTCCTTTCAGCTCCTAAAATCTATACATTTTCAATTAGAAACAAGTTTCCAACATAAAGTGCCAAGTACTTTTACTCTGTCCCACTCTGTTGGGTTCCAAAAACCTACCTGTTCAGACAGCCTGGAAAACACCTTCACATTTAAGACTCCACCCACTTTGAAATATGCTGGGACTGTGTGGACTTTCCAGGACAGCAGTCCCGTTCATGAATGGGGTGAGCAGCCTCTCCCTGGTGGGTTCAACCCAGAGAGACTGCAGTCAGCTGGTCTACCAAACTGGCTGGTCTACCAAACGGCTATAGAGGAAGAGGTGGCATGCCCTCGGGGCCTCTCTCAGCAGCTCCCAGTGAGCATGGGCAAATCCTGGTCTGATTTTCTGTTTTTCCACCCCAAATTCGAGTGAGCCCTTCCCTCACACAAGGCCTCTTGGAGACAGTGTCCACCAAGCTGTCTCTCCTGAGTGAGGACGGGCCATGCTTCCCTGCCAGTCCCCACCAGCTGTCCTCCCAGGCTGAGCCTCTGAGACACGGGTGCCCCCCCGCAGGGTGTCACGCGGCTGGCAGGGCAGTGTTTCCAGGAGCGCGGGGCCAACCGTGTGCTCTCCCCCCAGGAAGATGCAAACAGAAAGGGTCTAACTCTATTGGCGTTGCTTCTTTGGGAACCGCTGGGGAGATCTGGCAGCTGGTCTGGAAAGGTCTCCAGAGGTTATTGTTACTAAATGAGAAAAGATGGCGGGCAATCAGACAGGCACCTGCTATGTGGTGATAAAGACAGACAATGGCAGCTGAGCTCAGGAAGGCTTGTTTATGTAATCGCTAGAGAAAGAGCTGAAGAACACAGTACATGAAAATTCAGTGTATTTTAAAAATCAGATAGGCGCATACTAATTTAAGTAGAGGAGCATTATTAGAAAGGATGCCTAACAGCACATATAAAAAATGCCGAGAAGCCTAGAGGTGGCTGTGTGTTATCTAGAAAAGATGTGCACCCACACTTTTTCACCCCTCCTTGTCTCCCCAGCCCTGTCACCCGCCCTTTTAGGCTTTCGAACCTTCGTTTTCTCTTCTGCTTTGGTATATTAGGAGCGTGAATGGTCTCGAGTGGCGTGATTAGAGATCCTAAAGTGCAGAGTTTTCTCTTTTCATTTTGTCCTGAGGTGGCCCAAGATTTACAAGAAGACCAGTCAGAACGGGCATTGATTCCATGGTCAGAGTTACGGTGCTGCCTGTTCCATGAATGGTTTATTATTGCTGTTAACTTGATTTTGAAAACCCCCCTTTGATACAGCAAAAGGAAGCTCTTCATCATCTATGGCAAATGGACAGAGGGCCTGTGGGGCATAGACCCGGCGGCATATGAGTCCTTCAGGAAGCAGGAGAGGAGAGGCGACCCCCTGAGAAAGGCGAAGCTGGTAAGGTGCCCAGTGGGGCACTTGTCCCCAGTGGGGCGGGGCGGGGCAGGGTGGCCAGCAGGGCGGGGCGGCCAGCGGGGTCCAGGGCTTCCGGGAAGCCGGCCCTGCCTCCCGTCCCCTTCCTGGTCCCTGCTGGGAAAGGCTGATGCATAGACACACGTATCCATGAAACTCGTCCTGGTCATCCGGTGGACTCTGGATTGGCAGTGGGGCTTATTTGCATTCTGATGCTGCAGGGGCTGCTGTTAGAAACCGTGGGTGTGGGCGGTCCTCTGTCACAGCGTCTGACCCCCAAGCCTGGCAGAATCAGGTGGCACCTCCATTTCTTCCTGGAAACTCCACGTCCTGCATACTTCTCATAAACCTCCTGTGTCTCTGTACCTCATTAGCTTAGACCTATTAAATTAGCAAGTGACTGTCATTTCTGCATTGTAGTTCTGAGAGCCAGATAATAGATTCAGCAGTCGGAAAGCTGTGACAGGGACGCTTCTTTCTCCCCTGGAGCTTTGGAGTACTGCTCATCTGAAGATTCTTCCAGAGCTGAAACCAGCAGTGATAGTTCAAAAGAGCTGTCATATTTTCTAGATAACATACAGCCTCCCCTGGGCTCCTCCGGGTTTTTCATATGTGCTATTAGGCATCCTTTCTAATAATGCTCCTTTACTTAAAAACAAGTAAAGTTCCATTTAAAGACTCTAAGACTTAGAATGCTGAATCCACTCAGTGACGCCTTTTCATGCGTTGGCATAGCTACGTTGATCCTTCGGGTAGCCTGGAAATGAGAGTCTTGTCCTCGCTTAGCTCTGGCACCCACAGGCCGACCCGTGGAGCCTGCAGCCAGGTGGGAGGGCTCCAGGCTGCGTTTGGGACCTTTAAGTGCTCTCCCCTTGACGGCTGGCTACATGAATAACCACTTTCTTCTTTCTCCCGTCCCCTTCCTGCATTCTGGAAACTAAATGCAGCCACTGTTATCTTTCTACTGAGATGCTGCCTCCAGGTGGTGTTCAGTCTGGAAATGCCGCGATGCCCTGAAGTCGGCCAAAGGGACCACTTGATTGAGGCAGCCTGTGGGAGGGCCTCCATCTCAGAAACACACTATTAGAGTCACCCTTAGCGTGGATGGCACATGCTATTATAGACGGTGTCGCCATCTGGTTGCGATCAGACTCAGGAGTGCGTTCTTTATGCTGCCTGCGCTCTCCCAGAAGGAAAGTGGTGCCAGCTGCTGACTTTGTGCCCTGTCTTTGGGGAGCCCCTGCAGGTGGGGGGTGAGCTCTGCAGAAGCAGGAGGCCTGACTTTTCTCCTTAAGCTGAGGGACAGACAGGTCACAGACAGGGCGTGGCAGCTTCTCCTTCATTAGAGGGGCGTCTGGCTGTGCTCAGGGGCTTGGGAGCTGGTCTGAAAGGTGCTGGAGTCACTCCCCCTCTGATGGCCACATCGGCGTGCCCTGTTTCAGGATGATAGCACTGAGAAAGCCGACAGTGACGTCGTGGATGCTGTGCCCGAGGTCCAGGAGACCGTGCAGGTCATTCCAGGCAGCAAGCTACTCTGGAGGGTCAACACCCGGCCCCCCAACTCTGCCCAGGTCAGTGCTCCCCGGCCCCTTGCCCATGCCAGCCGCCTCAGTCCGTTGTCCCTCCGTCACCTAATTGAACTGAGCTGCATCGTGAGCCTCCGAGAGCTTCATGTCCCCCAGAGCCACTCCGCAGCCCCAACCGTGGCTGGGCTCTGTCTACATGAGTTGAAGTGACATGTTGACACACGTCTCTGCACACATCACAGTGTTATAGCTGCCCTGGGCGGCACCCCAGGCGGACTGACAGGAGGTTGGCAAGGCCCCGGGGCTGGGGTCGTGGTGGGGGATGGGGGCTGCAGTGACTCCACCCCCACTCTGTGTGATGCGGCCACTTACTGGGATAGACTGTAGGGGTGGGCACACGAGCTGGAGGGGAGGCCAGGTGGGAGGTGCGGCCCGAAGTCCAGTGTGGGATGCGCCCCGTTTGAGATTGCTGTCACATCCAGGGATGTTGGGGAGACAGAGAGGCAAGCCCCGGGGGAGACCTAGGCAAGTATGTCTCAGGCCAGGGGAGGGGCGCCTGCCCTCAGGGACCTTGGCGGGAGCATCTCTAGGGAGCGGGTGCCACTCGAATGGGTTCAGAGTCTCCCTGTGGCTCCCACGTGTGCAGCATGTGCAGAACGGGGTGCCACGGGTAGCAGCAGGTTTCTGTGCCCATCCCTGCAGATGTACAACTTCACCAGCTTCACTGTGAGTCTCAATGAGCTGCAGACTGGCATGGAGAAGATCCTGGCACCCACAGACTGCCGCCTGCGCCCCGACATCCGAGGCATGGAGAATGGCAACATGGGTGCGCCTGGGTTTGGGGTCAGCGGGTGCCGAGCAGGAAAAGGATACTGACGCCTTTAGCTGCACCAGCAAGCAAGCTTTAGCCCTCCCGGCACAGAGCCCCCAAACTGCCTGTGCGGAGCAGGTTTAGAAATCTCCAGCCTGGTGCAGACCAATTCTCTTGTGAATGTAATCAAATTACTAGAAAAGCAAAATGAAAAAGAATACATACGGAATACTAGTCCCTGATAGTTTTATTACTAGGTGCATTTCAAAAGCTGGACATGTTCCTTAAAAGCCCCGTGAGCTGTCCGTGTGGGAGACCACTGATCACTTGTCTGCAGCTGTAACGAGACAGTCCCGTGTCTGGCACCTGGCAGCACGTGTTGGGTGACCGCTGTGTGGGCGTCATGGGGTGGCGGGGTGGGGCGGGGGGGTCAGTGTGAGGAGCCAGCTCGCCCCTTCTCATTCACGCACTCCTCTAGGTCAGGTCAGTGATGCGACCCCTGCGTGTTTTCCCCACAGTGTGTCAGTAAAGAAACCACTCGGGAGGTGGGGTCCTCGTGGTCAGGGTCACCGCAGTCCTGGGGACAGCACTGCAGCAGACCCTGAAGGTCAAGGTCACACGTGACCAGCTTTGCGAGGAAAATAGCTCCTGGGTGTGACACACTGTGGGGCTGGTGCTGTCCCGGCCCCGCTGTCCCCGGTGCGGCTGTGCTGAGGTCTGAGCATCCCCGCGCCGTCGGCAGTGGGGCCTGAGCCCTCGTGGCAGGTTTGGTTTCCTGGTGGCAGAATTTACCCTGTGTGGTCCCCTAACAGTGACCAGGAGCCTCACTGTCCACCCCGACTCCTTACCCACACCTGTGTGCTTGGACCCCTAGACCTGGCGAGCCAGGAGAAGGAGCGGCTGGAGGAGAAACAGAGGGAAGCCCGGAGGGGGCGCGCCAAGGAGGAGGCGGAGTGGCAGACCAGGTGAGGCGCCGCGGGGGCGGGGACAGCGAGGAGGCCCCGCCCCTGGGGCTGAGCAGAAGCTGTTCCTGGTTCTGTTACGATGGTGGCCGCAGCCCGTGCCCAGAGCTGGACCCACTGTGCAGATGGGCCAAGTCCCCCAGAAGTGAGCGAACCCCACTGGTGAGAGGCGGCCCACCAGAGACCGGTCCCCGCTGCCCTGCCCCTGGCATGTTCCACCCTGAGCATCTCCTCAAATAGGGCAAGCTTCACGAGCACACGCAGCGGGAACCAGCCACTGCCTGAGGGAAAGAGACGCTGTGCGTCCAGACGCCCAGCCACGCCATGGCCTCCTCGCCCGCGAGCGCTCACACCGTGACCGTGACCGTGACCGGTGCTGGGCTCCCGGGGGGGGGGGGGGGGGAGTTAGGTGCCGCTGGCTGCTGAGTCTGCCGGCCCATCTTCTTACTGAAACACCTCAGATTACTTGTCCTTTTTTCTTCCACAGTCATAACAGGAAAATAAGTCATTTAATAAGGATTTGAACAATTAAGTCCTACAACACTTAAGCATAATTTTTTTTTAAGAATTTTTTTTATTGGGGAACAGTGTGTTTTTCCAGGAGCCATCAGCTCCAAGACAAGTAGCTGTCTTCAATCTAGTTGTGGAGGGTGTAGCTCCTTGGCCCATGTGGGGATCTAACTGGCGACTTTGGTGTTACGAGCCTGCGCTCTAACCACCTGAGCTAACGGGCCGCCCCTTAAGCATAATTTAAATCTGTACATATAAAGTCTCAGGTCTTAGACTTACAGAACTCTGTGTGGTGCCGAGTTGTCCTCAGCAAGCTGGAGTCATTGCAGCCATTGTTTTCAGGGCCCCGTGATGTCACTGCGTGACTTTTATGTGACCGGCATTTTTAAAACCAATTCTCGATTCTTGGGCTTCCAATTTCATTTACTGTTATGCTTTTAATAGTTTGATGAGTGGAATTTGCTTTTGTTCCAGAAAAAAAAATTGGAAATAGTGAACCTTCCTTCATTGTTTTGTTAAGTAGTCCATTAAAAAATTATATTATGAAAAAATATTTAGTCCTGAGCAGACAATTGCTTGGACCTTGGGAGCCCACCCAACACTCCCCCTGCTAAGCTGTAGGCCTCTTAGTTGTCGCCGTGTCCTGAAACAGGTGCCTCTCCCGCCACACAGGTGGCGTTGCTCTGGTGCCCGTTGGGAACCGGTGGCAGAGAGTGAACTGGCTGATCAGATGAACTGGGGTCCCTGTGACATCTCTGCCAATAATGTATTCCCTTCCCCCAGTTAACGACACACAAACCCGTTTCAAAGGAGGGAAACTGAGCGTTGTGACCGACAGGCACAGGGTGGCTTAGGGTCAGTGCCCTGCCCTGCCCACTGCCCGGGCTGAGTGTTTTCTGTGAAATCCTCCATGTTTTATTGGGAGTGAGGCTGTCGTCAGGGATGTTTGTGGGGACAGCGTTTGCATGAAAGTAGATTAATACTCCCCAGTCGAGGTGGCTGCCCTGGGCCACATTGCAAATGCGCGTTGATGTGACAATGCCATTAGAGGCACTGACCATGGCAAGGCCCCTGGAACGGTGAGTCAGTGCCTCCAGCGCCCTGACCTTCCTCTTTGTTGCAGGTGGTTTCGCCAGGGCAGGAACCCCCACACTGGGACCCCCGACTGGCTGTATGCAGGTGGCTACTTCGAACGGGATTTCTCAGGCTGCCCAGACATCTACTGAGGCCTGACTGGCCCTGGGACCCGGACACCTTCGAGGCTGGACTCCATCGAGTGGCTCCTCTGAGCTTCGGCCACAGCAGGACCAGCCTTTCTAAGGACCGTGTCCACAGAGACAGCGCCGTCCCTGGCGGAGGACTTGGTCCTAATTAACTTGTGATTGCCAAACCTTTACTACTGTCGCGGTCTCTTCATAAAACTCCCCTTGGGATCATCATGTTTCCATTAAGGCTTGAGAAGGAAATTCTTTAATTCCCTCTTATGTGACAGCAGTTAGCTGGGGCTTGCTTAGCTGACAGCACCCTCTTAATTATGAAATTTATAACTAAAGGAAGTCACAGGAAGGGGACCACATTCCTCCTTAGAATGAAGCATCACAAGGTTTCTGAACATATTTTAAATCTGAACCAGGAAGAGGAAAAGATGGATCTTGAAAGTAACCCTGCGAAGAGTTTCCTGCGGGCAAGGAATCGCTTTCCAAATTATGGTAACATGAAAGCAAGGGTTTTCAAAGCATCAGATTGAATGATAGCTGTCAGATTCTGTATTTTTTACCAGTCTTCAATAATGTAAAGATTACTTTTGAAATATTTAAGTTCAAACTACTTGAATAGTATTTGCTGAAGAGCAAGCTATGCATTAACCACCAGTTGTATACTGTCCAACATGAAGCATTATTGTGACAACGCAGGGTGACCAGACACATTGAGAGTTGTTGACCAAAGGTCCCTAGACTGCGCCCAGTGTTGAAGGGAGCCCTGGTTCTGGCCATGTCCACTCCTCTTGTCACCAGGGCCTCACTGTCACTGCAGGCCAAGCCCAAGTCACAAAGTGAGTCACTTCTTAAAACATTAGGCCTGTACCCACAGCACTCTGTGTCCTTGTTTTTCCCGGCATGCTTGTTTAAAGCAGGTGAGTCGCCCCTAGTGTGCGCTGTCGAGGGTCAGAGCAGAGCCTGCTTCCAGGTAAATTCAAGTGATTGCCCAAAACACAGGTGTATGTCCTCATCAGGTGACTGTTTTCTTTCTGTAGAAATGTCAACACTATAGATCATGGTACCGCTCTCTGAATCAAAGACAATCTGCTGTGTGCACACGCACAGGCACACATACACACAAGACACACACACACATACACATGCAAGGCACACATATGCAAGGCACATGCATATGCACACACAAGGCGCACACACACATGCACACATACACAGGCACATGCACACACAGGCGCATACACACATACACATGTACATGCACACACAAGGCACATACACATGTACATGCACACAAGGCACACACACATGCACACACACAAGGCAGACACATGAACACATACACACATGCACACAGGCATCAGTGTGCACAGGCAGACACGCACATGCATCACGCACACACACACAAGGCACACATACGCAGTAGTGCGGAGTGGTGGGTTCCCAATGAGAGTGTGTCATCGTTGTGTGGCCAGGCTTCAAAATCACATTTGTAATTAAAACACTTTTAAAAGCGAAGACTTGTCCTGAAGGCTTGATTTTGTAGCTTTGGAAACTGGAAGCCACTGTGTTGTGACAGAGTCCTGAACACAACGCTGGCGCCCGCAGGCGTCTGAGCATCTCTGACAGACGCGGAGAGGAGGTTGGAGTGCCCAGTGCTGACGCAGCCTGCGTGCCTCTGGCTGAGGACCGTGTGCTGTCAGCCTGTGCGACCCGGCCGTGTCAGAGGCACAGCTGCAGGGCACGAGAGGACGGCTATATTCAGGGTCATCCATTTGTCACCGCCTCCAGTAACCCGCTGACAAGGTCTGCATCCTAAGTCCTCTCCTGAGGTTGGGGGTCTGGATTCCGCCAAGGGTTGCGGGGCCCAGTCCTGGAGTCCAAGGGGATGGCAGGACGCCAGTGCCACAGAGCGTAGCTATCTCCTCGCTCAGTTTCCCACTGCTGTGTCTGCAAAGCTGACACACAAAGCCAGAGCCTCAGTTCCCTACCCCCCAGTACTACCAGCTATCAGATGTTTGTCTCTAACAAAGAGTTTTGCAGTAGAAGCCGCCTTCTAAAAGATGACCACCCACAACTGATGTGTTTGGCCCGAGTGGAAAGGGACAACCTTCTTGTCAGCCACACCTTTGCATAACTGTGGCTTTGACAGTGTCATCACAGGAGGGGAGCAGAGCGCGCTTTCCCCAGAGAACGTCACATTTTGGGCTTGGCCCTTTGAAGTCAGGCCGGCTCTGTGTCCGTTGATTTAGTGCCTGTTTTTGGAGTCAGCCGCAAACAGACGCCGACATCTCGGAGCGTGTTTTATGTAGAATGTAAGTTAATGTGACGGGGCCCACTGGTGCGAACTGGATTTAAGAGGTGCCCAGTGTCAGGGACGGATGGTCTGTCCCAGGAGGAGTGCTGCCCTCCCAGGGAGGGTCAGGGGTCACGGCTTCTCCCCTGTGTAGCCCCGCTCATGAGAAGGTCACTGAGAAGCAGCCCCTGGCTCCTCAAGGGTGTCACAGCATATGTCACTCCAGCGTGAGGCAAATGCCAGACCCCCGTAATCCTGCTTGTCATGAGACAAAATGCCCAGATGGCCCTCAGCTTCTCTGTACACAGACGTGCTCTGAGCAGGGACGCACACAAGACGGTGCCGTCACTGCCCTCCCACGGAATGGAAGTGGCCCAGGCAGGGCCCCTCTGAGCGGTGCCATGTTTGTCCTGGTCACTCAGACTGTCCCCAAAGCTCGTGCTGCTTGTGCCTGAAGAGGGGTCGGCCCACAGACCTGCCAGACACACGATCTAGTGCTGGGAAATGGACGCCAGACCTCCAGGCCGGCACTGGGGAAGGGCCAAACACAGTCCCACGGCCTCCAGTGGCCCCAGCGGCACGCTTGTGCCGAGTGGCTTGGAGCTGTCCCTCTGGGGAGGCGTTCACTGAGAACACAGGACGTGCCATCTGCCCACTGGGTCCTGGTTGGATCACAAGGTCAGGGGATCAGAACAGGACGCCAGGACGCTCCCCGTGAGCCCGCCAGCCCTGTGGGCAGCCCTGGCAAGAAGCTGCTTCTCAGGACTCCTGCTCTTTGGGAAAAGGGCTCCCAGCACATGGTGCTTTACAGCTCTCACGTATGCATGAGGAACAGTGAACTGAAGATGTAGTTTAAAATGCTAACAAGCATCCAAAATTCAGAAGCACCAACAGCCCTTATCCTTAGGGGGTTGGAGAGGCGGCGAAGAGCTGTGTCCTGCGAGGGACAGGTGGGCCTGGGGGTGGAGGAATCAACGGAACGTTCTTACTGGTGCTGGTTTGTCCTGTCTCAGCGGTCGGACTTTCAAACATCTTCCAGAAGACATCCCTCTGTCCACAGTGGGTACAAAGGCTGGGGCTCCTGGTGGGAGAGCGTGTCGCCAGACACGCGGCTCGTGTGGTGGTGGTGTTTCCCCCACGAGTGTCATTTACGGGGCTCACTGCCGCCTGCGTTCTCAGGGTGAGGGTTCTGCAAAGTGAAGACAGCATTTGGCCGTCTCTTGGTACGAGCTTACTGGATGGTCTGTCCCTCACTGGACACACTGCTCCTTTGCCTCTGAGAACCACACTGTCCTGGTCACGTGTTTAGGAAAGGGCGGCTTGGTCTCTGCAGAGGGTGACAACACACAAATGGGTCCTGCCTCCCTCACTGCACGTGTGTGGCTGGTCTTCACCACTGTTCATTCTATCTGTGTAGCAGGAAAATTTCAGGCAAGAAAGCACGCTAGTGACGGCTTGTTTTATAATACGTGACAGCTGCCAATGCCCCTCCCTCTGTATAAACAGAGTCAGCCGGGCGGACTGGTATAGATCTGGGAAGATAAATGTTAAGCCCTAGCTGTGAATAAAGATTCTTTAACAACGGGCTGTAGTTGACACTTACACGCCAGTGTTTCGCCATCTCAGTTGGCTTCTTGGAAAGGACTGCAGGCCGGCTGTGGACGAGCCTCACATTTGGAGTCTGAGGCTCAGACTGCGTGTTCTGCAGGATCAGCCCAGCGAGTGGACTGTTCCAGCGAGTGGTTACACAGAGAAGGCATTCAGGGACACTTGCGACATAACCGGGTGGGCACACAATGGATGGAGGGGTGCAGGTTCCCTGAGCATCGGGAGCTCCGAGGGACCGTCTCTCTTCTCCCCGGGGCATTGGAGCCTGTTGCTGGAAGCAACGACATGCCCAGAACACAGTGTTAGTTTGACTCGAGGGTCCCTGCTGTCTGGCTGCTGTCCTGGCTGCCTCACAGCTGTGTGCTTTCCGAGACGCGAGCTGAGTGGAGGCAGCCCGACAGCCACGGTGGCTCTGGGCAGGGGACAGACAGTCCACATGGTCAGAATGCTCCGGGCAGGTGCACAGATGCAGGGTGTCACCACAGGCCACCTGTCTGAGGATGGGGACCACAGAGCACTCAGTGCTGCCAAAGCCCAGGCCTGGTGTCATGGCTGCCCAGTCCCCACTATTATAATACCATCCAGTCCAACCTGTGGAGAAGGAAAAGGAGGCGCAGGAAGCTGTGCTTGCAGGAGGTTTCACAGCAGGTGAGCAGAGGAAGTGGGATTCAAACCCTACATACAGTGACTCCATTGTCTGCAGTTGACAAATTCATGACGTTTTGTCACCAGCACCATATCAACATATATAGTCAAATGACAGGTGTCAAGCCATTCAAGGGGGAAAGAACCGTCTTTTCACCAAACGGTGGAAAACTGGGTGTCCACCTGCTAAAGAATGAAGCTGACCCTTACCTCACACCATATACAAAAACTAACTCGAAATGGATAAAGGACCTAAATGTAGGACCTAAAACAATAAAACTCTTAGGAGAAAACAGAGCACAAGCTTCACCACACTGGATTTGGCAATGATTTCTTAGATACAACACCAAAGGCCCAGGCAACAAAAGCAAAAACAGACAAGTTGGATTTTGTGAAAATTAAAGTTTTGTGTATCAGACACTATCATTCGAGTAAAAAGGCAACCCACAGAATGGGAGAAAATATTTGCAAATCGCACACCTGATAACAGATTCATATCCAGAATATATAGAGAACTAAAACTCAATGACAAAAAAACCAAACAACCTGATTCAAAAGTGGGCAAAGGACTTGAGTAGACATTTAACCAAAGAAGATAGATGAATGGCCCACAAGCCCATGAAAAGATGCTCAAAATCACTGATCACCAGGGAGATACAGATCAAAACCACAGTGATTCCACCTCACATCCATCAGGACGGTTGCCATAAAAAAAACAGGAAATAAGTGTTGGTGAGGATGAGGATGGGGAGAAATCAGCACTTTTATCCACTGTGGGTAGGAATGTAA